TTTGTGAGAGCCCTTAGGATTAAAGTTTTGGTTGCAAAAAACCAAAAAAAAAATTGAATTTAAAACGGGCACACAGGTATGTGTTTTTAAAAAAGAGAAGTGAAAGTATGCAATAGAGCAATAGAATCTTGGACTCAATGAACAACATATCTGGGGAATTGTGGGAAATTTTCCAAGTCAGATGTTAATCTCTTCACCCATCCATCCTAGAATCAGAAGGCCTTCAGTATCCAGGCTGCAAGATGCAAGATGCCTCACACTGGATTCAATCTCCCCCACCAGTGGAGGGCATCTCCCCTATTCTCTTCATGGAAAAATACTGAGCACAGAGTACCCTTGGTTCCCACACCAGTTTGCCACCCCACAGTCAGCAAGTCCCTTTACGAAACTGGCCACAGATTTCCCTGCTTGTGGATGTGTCCTGCTATTTTACACGTATATTCTGAGAGCACTGGGGGTTAAGATCTCCTCCTGTGCTAGAGTTTAGCATTGTGAGAAAAGATAAGCAGGCGTGGTCTTCTAGCCTTCCTCAGCTATCTGTGGACTGTCTCATGTTGGGCAAATCCTGGACTTGTGAGTCTTCATCTGTAATGTGGGGCAATAAGACCATCTCGATAGTCTTAGGTTAAGTTAGGTTAAGACTCCTTGAAACCCCAGTATAGAGTAAGCAGAGAAGAAATGCATGCTATCGGTATTACTGTGCCTGTGATTTAATAATAATAACAGCTAATGTTTGTTGATCACTCAAATGGACCTAGCCCTGTGCTAGATGCTTTACAAATACAAATTACAACATCCCTGAGGTGCAGTTATTACTTCATTTCACAGAGGAGGGAAGTCCAGGAGGTTAAGTAACTGGCAAGGTCAGTCAGCCATTGGGTGTTGGGACCCGGGGGTGAACTCTGATCCTCCTACAGAGCCCACATCTCTCCCCCTCCCACTCCATCTGGTCTCAAAGAGCTCCAGTCTCTCCTTCCCAAACCTAGTGATTCCAGAACTTCAGAACAAATTCTGATTTATTCCTTGTAGTGGGCTGAATAATGGTTCCCAAAGATATTAGGTCAAATCCCTGGAACCCAAAAATGTCACCTGTTCCAAAAATTATTCTTTGCAGATATGATTAAATTAAGGCTTTTGAGATAGTCTCAGATATCCTGGGTGGGCCCTAAATGTAACCACACGTTTCCTTATAAGAAAGAGGCAGGGTGAGCAGCTGCTGCACCAAGAGAAGCAGGAGCAGGGAGAAGCAAGGAGATGCAGCCAACAGTTGGAGCCAGATCAGGAGCCTTGAGCCAACTGGGAGCCTAAGCTGCCTTTGCTAAAGCAGCAGCAACTAAAGCAATGGAAAAGATACTGGCTATCTAGAGACTCACCCCTTCCCTTCTTTCTGCTACATAATAGCTCCTTCCATCTGGAAGTTCTTTGCTGGTGGGGGTGGAGAACAAACATGCCACCTCCCAAGAAAGTAGTGGTGATCACCCGAGCCAAGAGGTACGGCAAAGAGAACCCGAGAGCTGAGCTGGCGGGCAGAGGAGGCTGCACTCTGTATTGCTTGCGAAGCTGTATTAAAGGGCAAGTCTGCCTCCCGGGGAGTCTGACTGGTGTGAAGAGCAGGGACACCAAAGCTACCCCATACCAGATCCATCTGGATGTTTTCTGGGGACAGACAGAGGGAAAGCAGTTCCGTATTCTGATCAACAATGCAGGAGGGATGTTTTTATATTCCAAGTCAGTCAATGACTCTGCAAATTCCCTGGGAGCCTAAGCCACTCCCTTCTCACCCATTTGCTCCTGGAGTGAATGAAGGAGACTGCTCCAGCACTGGTAGTATTATCAGTGGCCCACCACACAGGCAAGTTTCGCTTCCATGTCCCTAGGGCAAGTAGCCTACAGTTAGGGTTTTGTTTATTTCCACAGCAAGCTGGCCAATGTGACTTTTATTTGAGAGCTGGTCAAGAGGCTCCCAGGCACAGGGATCACCGCCTGTGCAGTGCACTCATAATAGACATCATCCACTTGAGGCTGGTCTGGCACTCCTTCCTACTAGGCCTGCTCTGGCAGCTCTTCTCCCTCTTTATCAAGTCGGCACAAGAGGGGGCACAGAACAGCCTACTCTATGCCCTGGCAAATACGTCTCAGTGACTTCAAGAGGACTTGGGTGTCGCCAAGAGCCCCAATAACAAAAACACTGAACATGTGTGGCATGTCAAGTGTGAACTCCCAGGAATCTGGTAGGTGCAGAGCCAGTAGAAGAGCCAGAGCTTGATCCGGTCCAGCCCCACCCCATAATGAAAGGAGAGCAAGAAGGCCCACCATGAAGGATGCTCCTTCTGGCTTGCTGCTGTTGGAAAACCTGCCCCCCTCTGATTCTCCTGACCCTTCCAAAACCTCTGCACACCCAACCTTCTTTTGAGGCTGGCTCATGACATGAGGCAAAAAAAGCCACACCTGAATTACTAGAACCCATGAGTGTTACCTTACCACAACAAAAAAGATTTTGCAGGTGTGACTAAGTTAAAGGTCTTGAGATAAGGGAATTATCTGGGTGGGTCCTAAGAGAAGCAGAGGGAGATTTGACACTACAGGAGAAAGTAATGTGACCCAAGAAACAGAAACACTGTTTGAATGCTGCAGTCACAACCCAAGGACTTCTGGCAGCCACCAGATGCTGGAAACAGCAAGGAGCAGGTTCCCTTCAAAAGACTGGAGGAGATACAGCCTTGCAACACCTGATTTCAGCCCTGTGAATCTAATTTTAGACTTCGGACCTCCAGAACTGTAAGAGTATAGATTTACATTATTTTATGCCACGAAGTCTTTGGCAATTTGTCACAGCAGCCACAGGAAATTATGGGTGACTGTAGGAGGTAGCATAATTCTCTAAAGGTCCCTTGTATTTTTAAGGTGAATTCATTAATCTATTCAACCAAAAAATAAGAGGCAATATGGAAGAATAATAAAATAGGCTCTGAACTCAATCCAACTTGGGGGTGAATTCCACCTGCTGATTGTATGAACTTGATCAGGTTGCTTAACTTTCTGAGGCTCACTTTCAACATTTGCACACTGGGAGTAATAATGGTACTTAACTCAAGGGTAAGTTGTGGAAATTAAATAGGATGATGCACATAAAAGGCTTGGTGCTGGGCAGAAGAAGCTTCATTACCCTGTCCCTGACAGAGAGCTCCGCCATTCTCGGAGGAGCAATTTAGAGCAGGCAGAGCTCAACAAGATTTGGGGACCCACTGAAGACAATGGCAGTGGCGATAGGGGAGGCTTCCTAAAGAAAGTAATTCCTGAGGCCAGGGGACACATCAAGTCCTAAATACATAGTTGCCTTCTGAATATGTTTGCTGTAAATATTAGTATTAGGGGCTACATGTTTCTTGTTCTTGGGTTTTCAAGAAAAAGCACGTATCAAAAACTGTCCGTGATGGGGAGTGTTTAAAATTCTTAAGTTACTAGAAAGATCCTAGGAGGTTCTAAGAAAGACCCCACATCTGAGGGAGGCAGAGGCTGAGAGCAAAGGCTGGCGGAGACCAGCTTCATCGATACCATTTACAAAATAACAGGCGCATCCCAAGGAAAGAGAACTGCGCATGTGTGCTGACCTATGGCGCCCTGAGTGGACAATTCTAGTGGGAAGGAAAACTAGCGTGGAACGGGGAAATCTGCCTCCACCCATTTCGAGAAGCCGGTTTTATCCCTGCAGTCTGGACTGTTAGGCCCCATTCCTGTCTCGCTGATCGCTGATTGGCCAGATCTCGTTCACCAGCTGCTCTGATTGGTCAATTGTCTTAGAGACAGTTGTGGTCGGGATTTTGATACCTCAGGGAGTGACACTGCTTCACCATTGCGGTAGGTTCTCTCCGAGGGCTTTTCTGGGCGGGTTTAGGGGAAGAGAGATAGAAAGCTGGGGATCTTTGTAGACTGGATCCTTTCTGTTGTCTGAAAGACTAATTCAAGCCTTTCCGGGCGGTCCCCGTTGGGCAGAAATAAAACAAACCATCTCCAGTCTTTGAAGCACCCTAATTGCTCTTTCTTACGGAAACACCACCCCTCAACCTGAGAAGTCCCCCAAATCATCCAGAACCCCTAAATTTCCTCAACTAGATAGAACAGCCTCTGCCTAAGATATGCCTCAATTTCCTCCTCTGACCTAAAGCCACGGTCTTCTTGGCCTCAGAAACCCCTGAATTTCCTCTCCCTAAGGGACTACTAACTCCCCACATTCTCAACCTGAGTGATGGCTAGTCCAGTGGTCTCAGAGTTTCTAGCTCTCTTCACGCAAATACTTTTCAAATAACCCAGGAATAGCTTCAAAATCACTCTTATCAGCAATCTTCCTTTCTCTCCAACTGAGCAGCACCCACATCCCTCTGCCTGGAAACCCAACCCCATCAGTCAGGAAATACCATATGATCTCTGGTACTTACACACAAACGCACACACACATGCACACACACACACACACACCTTTGGCTTAAACACACCCTCTCTATAAATTTACACACTCCCCCCACCACCACTTCCCCAATGGAGGGCCTTGTGTATTTCCTTCAGGATAGGCCAAACTCCAGGCAGACTACTAAAGACATCCACCCCCACCCTAAAGGCCCTAAGTTGTTTTTTCATAAGGGACCTCTTGTCCCTTATTTTCTTTTATTTATTTAATATATTTTTAATTGAGGTTCCATTGGTTTAAAACACTGTATGATTAAGGAGAATAGATCCACACCTCCTCAGATGTGTGGGACCACACCACCCCCACCTTAGAGCACCCACAGTCCTTCACCCACTGTAGTCCCCTGTTTTCATCTGACTTCACTCCATGACCTTATTCAGGGACAGATAAGCCCAGGAGGGAGAAAAGGAGAAGCTTGATTCCAGGTGACTGAGGGTGGCCTTCCTTGAGTGCCTTCTCTCTCCACAGGACCTTTGGCCTTGTGACTGGAGAGTCGCGGTCTGTGACACTTTGAGACCAGACTGTTCCCGGCACCATGGACAAAAACAGCTCCTTTGTAACAAAGGACAAAGAACAAGCTAAGAAACTGAAGAAATGTGAGGTGAGGTGTTCTGGAGGGGGAAGAGGAGTGATCTAGGGGACAGTGTCAATCTCTGAGAAGGTGAGATCAGAGGCACTGGGGACAGGGAGCAGAACTTCAGGGGGAGATCCAGAGCCTGAGGAGCTTCTCACTCTCTGTCCTCACCTAGTATCTGTGGAAACAACAGGCCTGTGACCGTGTACTGCATTTGGTGGCTTTCTGTCCATTCTGGAAGGTGAAAGAAAAGCCTGCCAACCAACCTTAAGTGCCTACTGCTTGCCAGGAGAGGGGCTCGTGACTGTTACCCATGTTCTGTCAGTCAGCCGGGATAGCACCCAGAGGATTATTATCCCCAGTTCACAGATCCAGTACACAGGTCTGCCGCGGGGGAGGAGGCCTCTGCTGAAGGTCACCGTGTTTAACTGAGTCACTGCTGGGATTTATATTTCTTTCTTTTCTAGGCTTTCAAGGATATTTCTAAATACTTTTCTAAAGAAGAGTGGGGAAAGCTGGGATACTCGGAGAAAACCACTTATGTCTATATGAAGAGAAACTACGAAACTATGACTGGTCTAGGTAACAGGATGCTGTAGGCCCGGGCAAGCCTGGGAACACATCTTGTGCACGCGCGTGCACGTTTGTGTGTGTGCACTCACACACACACACACACACACACACACACACACCAGCCCTTTTATGTGCCATGGCTTCTGCTTAGGCTGCAACAAAGCGTCCCATACTTTCCTTTTGTGCAGGGAGAAACCACAAGGCAGCTTCAGGCTGCCTTCAAGCAGCTAATATCTTCAAGCTCTAATATCTGTGCAGGACTGAGGACCAGGAATGGCCACACAGATGCTCAGAGCTAAATCCCTTTCTCCAGCATGCTTTGCTCCCACTGGCCAGTGTAGCACACTCCTGCACCCCCACCCCCGCCCCGGCTGGTGAATTTTACTGTTCTGCTGCCTTCCAGCAGCCCCATCCTGCTCTTTTCCTCGTAGGTCGACTCTTTTTCTTTTTTAGATTTATTTATTTATTTATGCATACAAAAACTGGGGTACAAGCCAGAGGTGTGGAGGGCTGAGAGAATTCACCAGAGACAGTGGGGAGCAGAACAGACAAATGCACTGAAATACACTGCTGAGGGGAGCAGCAGGCAAAACAGAAGAGGTCTTCTGCACCATGTGGGTCAGCTCCCTGGCTAGGGATTGAACTCAGGCTGCATGCAGTGGCTGCAGATAGCTTCATAGTGGTGCGCTTTAACCCATAGTTCCTTCAAGGAGGGCCTAGGTTGACTTCTAAGGAATGAACATTTTGTTTCTCTCTAGGTCTCAGAGCCGCTCTCCCAGCTTTCATGTGTCCTAAAAAACAGACCGCAGAATTCCGTGACTCTGATGCAGATGGGACCCTTGGGAATCAAAGTAAGTGTCAGGAAAGGCTGAGAAAGGGTACGCTGAAGTCCTATTGCCTGGGAAAGATCCTCAGAAGTTTGTTCCTTCAAAAGCATCATGGCTGAAGGAAAAAAGTTAAATACAAAAGGTTAAGTACAGTCAGAGGCCATTCGCTTAAAACTCAAAAACGTGCAAAACAAGAGCATGCACTCATGTGTGGCTTAAGGGTGGGGACCCATTCTGAGAAATGCGTCGGTAGGCAACTTCATCCTTGCACAAATGTCATAGAATGTTAATTTCACAAACCCAGATGGTACAGCCCACCACACACCTAGGCCGTATGGTCTAGTTTATTGAGACCTCTGTCATCCATCGTTCATGGAACTGTCACTAAGCAGTGCACGACTGTGTATTTTTATGGATAAATAAATGGTATTAAAAACCTGAATGAAAATAAATCCATCAAATTCAGGAGTGGAGAAAGAAGGAGGTCAGGGATCGGTGAGGCTGTACAGATGGTTTCAGCTGTGACTTATTTCTAGAGTTCGTTTATATTCTGATAAAGATCTCAGAGCAATGTGAGCAGCGAGGGGCCAGTGAGCAGCACTGAGCTCCCGCTGGTGGCAAGGGGGAGGCGCATGTGTTTCCAGTGTCATTCGCTCAGATTTCCTGCCCATTGGAAACATTTCTTTTTGAAAGTTCTTTTTCTTGCTAAACACTGTGAATGAGTAAAGGACAATTGAGAACAACTAAATCATAAATCCACCCAAAACTTCCAGAACCAATTACATAATAATGTTTATCCAATTGGTATCGGATAAAAATTTTGAGAGAAGTGGCTAGAACGTTACATAATGGCATATAGCTATTCACGAGTGTTTTACCAAAACCAGTTTACCATTCAAACCTGGTTTTGTGTTCAGCTTCAGAGAGTTAAGAACCTATCCTTCACTCACACACTGAACTTTTGCAGAGGCAACAAGGTGGAGAAGAACAGATTCTGGAGGTCGATACACATCTGAGAAGGGTGTGGACTCATTATAAAGGGGCAGGATGTGCTCACTGTTCTTCTGCTCACAGTACAGTTGTGTGAACACAAACTCAGAATATTTAAACTATCTCCAATTTAGACCTGAGACTTCCCTGCTAAAGGCCAGACTTCACAAGCTCACAAAATTCCTGTGAGAGGGCCGAAAATCTTATACTTTTTTGACATTAAAGAAGTGTCTTTATACTTGAAACATTCCATGGTTTCTCATACACTTAATATCCTCTCTGGCATACTATAGAATTCATCCATTTTAAGTATACAATGATTTTTACTTGCCGCATATCTTTAGTGGATACAGATCAAATTCCCAGTCAATCGACTTAATTCTTGGGAGGGGAGGTAGGTTGCAGGAGTGATAGGGCTAGTTTACAACTTATTAACCGCCCTGAGGGAAATTATGAATTCATGCTGCAAACAAATGCATAAACCATTATTAAAGATAATCCAGAAGCTGGTCTCAAAATAACTCCTTGACAGTGAGTGGGTCCATAAACTTCTGCTGCAGAATTCCCCCAGTAATATGGGAGGCTCTGTAGATTTGGGGGTTATTTGCCAACAAAGAAAAATGCTAATTTATCACCTTCTTTTAGGTGAACCTCCTCAGGGTATTTTCAGTGTGCCACAGAAAAAACACATGAAGGTGAGTATCTCCCAGATCTAAAGGACAGAGGCCCTTTCTCCACAGATGTGAATCTCCACGGATGTAAGAGCAGAAGAATATTGAAAATGGCCTGACTCTCACTACCTTCCTGTCCTGGTCTCTCTATTACAATGCCTGATGTGACAACCTAAGAATAATTAACAAGTTGGGTAGCTGATACTTCTCTCCTCATCATAGCAGTGCCAGATGTTATTTTAAGAAACTAACATGGATTAACTCCTTCAATCATTAAGAAAACCGCCATGAAATTGTTAGTATTATCGAAAACCGCCATGAAATTGTTAGTATTATCATCCCCAATAGTGATGAAGATACTATTATAATAAATGTAGTAATAATAAAGATGAGGACGTTATGGTATAGAGGTGCTAAATAATTTGCCTAAGACCACAGTGGCCATGGTAGTCTAATCCAAAACCTCAAAAGCACCTCCAAACTCATTTTGTAGATGGTTTCCTTTGCTGTGAAGAAGCTTGTTAGTTTGGTGTAGTCCTGTTTGTTTCGTTTTTTGTGCCCTTTACTTTGGGTGTCTGGGAACACGTTCTTTGCTGTCTGGATTATGAAACCCTTGAACCCTTCCTCTCCCTTCCTTCTTTTATTTTTCCTCTCCCTTCCTCCTAGTCATTTCTCGCACACCACTTTCCAGCAGTGTTTGTCCCCTTTGTACACTTGTGCACGTATCCTTCGAGCAGCTGTCTACTAATTTTTCTTCAATCCCTAATGCCTTCTAGAGACCCCTTTTTTTAATTTTGTACAGACCTTGTGGCCCCTTAGAATAGCATTCTTCCCCACATCTCCTACAGACGACACTCTCACTTGCATGAAGACTTCTGCGCTTTGTGAGAGAGTCAGTCTGTAAAGAGCAGGAAGATGAGCATGCTAGTTCTGGAACAATGTTCATTTAGGTCATTCCTTTCCTTCTGACCTCCCAGATTCTTTATAACCTAGATACAGGTATTGTAACTGTCCCCCAGAGTTGACGAGAATGTTAATTAAGATGCTCTATTGTGAAGACATTTTGTAAACTCTAAAACTTGCCATTGATGCTTTTCATCTGTGACCTTCACATTGAAAAGGTGATGACCAAGATGTCAAAAAGTGAAGATGATTTGAAACTGGTAACACCTGGCTCAGAGAAGGAACCGAAACAACTGCCCCACTCGGGAAAAGCAGGTAACTGTGATCAGCAGAGTAATAATAGATCAGGTAAAAGGAGGTTTGGGGAACAACTCCTCTGGCTTCCCTGGCTGTGTTCAAATATGTGATCTAGACACGGGGGTGGATCCTGGACAGGCCTGTATCTAGGCTGCACCGAGGAGCTCACCATGCTCCAGCTGAGATGTTAGAACAAGACTTCCAGAGTCACACACTTGAGATTTTATTGATATAGCAGCTGTGGAACTGTTGGCAAGTCTCAATTCTTTGCGCTGCAGACTCCTAGTCCCCAAAATGTAAGTAAAGAGTCATAGCTTCATAAATTATGCCAAGGATTTAAATGAAATCTAGAAGGCTTGATGACATGAAAGGTGCTCAAGTAATTCTATCTGTGATCACCTGGGAGCGTATCTTACTCGCTCTTAGTCACATGGATGACATACTACATGCCCTTAACAAATACATATTGAATGAAAGAAGGTCTAAATGAAAGGTCTAAACCTGATAATGGGAGGAACCAGAATTTAAAAGTCCAGCTGGTATGTATTGGTACAGATCTAATGTCTCCATTTTTCTAAACCAGATAAAGTGAACTTAAAAAACTAAAATAAGGACCCTCCCTGGTGGCGCAAAGAATTAAGTCTCAGCACTATGAAGCTATCAGCAGCCACTGTAGCACAAGTTTGATCCCCTGCCAGGGAGCTGAACCATGTGGCACAGTCTCGCCCGCTGTTGCCCTCAGCAGTGTATTTCATAGATCCGCCTGTTCTAATCCCACTCTGTCTCTGGTGAATCCTCTCACCCCCGCCCCACACACCTCTGGCCTACACCTCAGCTCTTGTATACATAAATAAAAATATATAAATCTTTTAAAAATAAAAATTAAATTTAAAAGTTGTGAAAAAACAAACTGCGCAGAAAGCCCATGGACATTTGTGAGGGAGAAATCATCTCCTTAATCGAAAAATGAAGGCCCAGCACTCCTCCAGCCCACCCCAAACCCCATTTACAACTCTTCTCCACCATAGGATCTAATAAAAGAAAGAACAATATCTGGGCCTACAGGTTGCGAGAAAGAAAGAACCAAGTAGTGTATGAAGAGATCAGTGACCCTGAGGAAGAAGACTAACTCTGTGAGTACTTTTCAATCTATCTCCACACCCTTGAAAAATGCATGGGTGCAATAGCGTGGTATTGGTATTCTAGCTTGTCATTGTTCCCCGAATCCCTCCTCTTTCCTAGTATCTTGAGGTGCACCATTAAGATGAGGATGAGATCTCCCACAGTCTTTCTACTCCCTCTTCCCATATCCAGGGGACTTCCCTATCCAAGGTGCTGTGGGCTCCCAGGCCCCGGGTCAGCTCCTCACAGGTAGCTCACACCTTCCTCTAGCTGAGCAGCTCGCAAGGCCAATGAGAGAGTTGCTGTGGCACGAACAGAAGTTCCTTTGAGAAACGGTGGGTGGTGTGTGCAGTCGTGAGGTCGAATGGAGAGGCCACAGGGCCCTGAGGGCCAGGATGAGGAGAGGGTATTCCTTTATCAGGCATGGGGGCTCAGGCTCATTGCCACTGACTCTACTTTCCTCAGCCTCAGAGATGTAACACGTGTCCATGATAACAAGCAGAACTTGGTGGCCTTTCACGAAGATGGGCACGGCTGTGAACTCCTGGCCATCAGATGAAAGAAAAAGAGTTCACACCAGAGAAAATTTAAGCACGGTTTTTCTTATTGTTTCAAATGTTTTGTTAGATGTTAGAGTTTTCTTAATGAGCAAGATATATATTTAATGCATATCTGTTTCTATGTATCTATGCACTTAGCTCAGAAAACAAATATTGTCAAGTGTTCTCTGCATAGAACAGTACTACCTTCTTTAGAAATAAGCGCTAAGGACAGTTTTGGTTGTTTAATTCCAGATGTTTTTCTCTGCACTTATACACATACACACACACAGAGTACACAACATGAGCTTCTCCACTGCATTTCCTCACTACCAGCATGTAGTGGGGATTCTCTTTCATGAGCAAACAGTCTCTTTGGGCAGGTGCTTCATGCGATAAACCCATACCATATTATTCATTTACTCTGTGTCAGTGACTAGAAGTTAATAAATGTTTACAAATGTTTACCAGCTGTTTTCTCCTGTCATTCTTGTGCACAGAATCCTGTGCACATGCATTCATGTTTCTTTAGCACATATTCTTAAAAGTAGAATTGCAGCATCCAAGGGTTCAGTCATTCACAAACACTTAATGAAAATGGACTGTATATTTGGGCACTGTTCTAGATGCTGAACAGACATCAGGGAACAAGAGAAACAAATGTCCCTGCCCACGTGGAGTGAGGGATAATTCTAGTGGGGCATATTTCCAATTTTTATTTTGGTGAATAGTCTATACCCCAGTTTCTGGTCAGGATTCTGCAGCAGATGATTGAATGCTTTGGCCTTTGCTCTCTGTAAGATCTTCAGGGTCAGGGCCCTCCCTGGTGGTGCAACGGGGTTGAGACTCAGCACAGCAAGCTGGCCACAGCCGCTTCAGTGCGAGTTTGATCCCTGGCCCCAGAGGTGACCCACATGGCGAGACAGATCTCTCCTGACCTGCTGGTTTCTCCCTTCAGCAGTGTACTCCATCGATCTGTCTGTTCTGCTCCCCACTCTGTCTCTGGTGAATCCTCTCACTGCCCCTGTACCTCTGGCCTGTACACCGGTTCTTGTATACATAAATAAATAAATCTTTAAAAAAAAAAAAAGATTTTCAGGGCCAGAGACTGGAATTGTCCATTTGGGAGTGTCAGCTGGGGAGTGTGGAGGAATAAGGAAGGATCTTCCCATTGTGGGGCATGTGGTGGACAAGAATGGAGTCCACTTAGCCATGCAGCAGGGAGCAACAGATGGGGAAAGTTCACTGGACAAAGGGGTTACAGTGCCCTCAAGAGAATCACAGTCAGGGGGTCTGGGGGCAGGGGTGGAGACAAAGAGTCAAGAAGGAGACAGTCCTCTCCCAGAGGAACCATTTCAGGCTGCATAAGGAAGGCAGTCGGCTGGGGGAAAGGAACAGAGGAAGTTTTCCCGAGACTATTACTCCTGCCAAGGAACATGAAGGCTGTCAACAGAGGTCACCAAACTGACTTGCACAAGACATCAAGCACGAGCCTCACAGGGAGGTAGGACTGGCCCACTTTGACATTGACTGCATCACCTTGGCCTGTCAGCTCCCACAGAGGCTTGTAAGGGGTCTCTCCAGCGGAGCTCCCCCTCTCCCTGCCTGCCTTTCACTGCCTCCCGATAGATTCAGATCACAGTTGGGAAGCACTGGAAAGCAGTAAGTGATAGGCTCCCAGGAGGGGAAGGGTGGCAGTCGAGGTTGCCCTTGGGCTGTGACTCCTACTTGGGGCCAGGGTTGCTGGGGTTGGGTCAGCCTGTCCCAGGCACACACTGTGATGATGGGGAGGTGGCGTGCTGGATCACTGTCCACACAACTTCCCTGGAGTGGGTCTCCAAAAGCCCTTGGAGATGGATGACCCTGTCCAGGATGGGTGGGGAAAGAGGTATTGCCGGGGTTGTGGACAGAGGTGGACACCCATGTAAACCCTCCCCATAGAGCCAGCTCCTGGGAACTGTGTAGCAAAAGCATCCCAGCTTACCTGAGTCCCTTGTCTGCTCTAGTAATAATGTCTTATCACTCAAGATGATAGTTCTGTGTGTGGGACAGGTCACAGGCCCAAGGAGCTGCATCCCAGGCCGGGAACAGCATCTATAGGAATGGGGAAGTCTGATTCCCTGAGGTCTCCCCCCACCTTCCTTTATAACCACAGAAAGTGCTATTAATATTCATCTTGTGCTTGCAAAGTGCCTGGGCTGATACTAACCCTCTCCATTTTCCCTCACACCATTCTCTAAGGGTGGACACTGTCATCACTATGATGTCATAGATGAAAAACGGCAAGCTGTTAGGCTCCTTGCCAGAGTTGCTACAACTGTGTCGTGCAAGGACTGTATTTAGGACTCACCATGATTTCAGAGACAGGAAGGAGACAGGCGTGTATGGAGGTGGGAGACAGCTCCCTGAATGAGCTCCAAGTTCTGCCCCAGACCTCGGGGTGGATGTGAGACCATTTTCCCAAGACAGGGAACCCTGAGAGGCAGTATGCAGGGAAGGAGAGGCAGGGCCCCGTGGTAGTGGGGCCAGAGAACAATGGAGACACAGGGTAGGTGGGAGAGGGGAAGGCACACAGGCCGGGAGACCCAGGTCCAAGTGGGTGCCATAATAGCCCAGAGAAGGGCGCCAGGAAGGAGGGTGTGAGCGATCCACTGGGTACAGGGACAGAAGTCCGCAGGGCCCTACCTGGTACTGCAGAGAGATGGGCACTTCCAGGTCACTGCGGATGCCCCTCTCCCTACACCTCGGAGACCGATTGTGGTTGACCCCAATGTGGTTGTGCTCAGATTTCTCAAAAGAGGCAGGTGTAGGGTAGGGCAGCTTGAAAACACACTGGAGTTGTGGCAAGACACGTCTTTCCCTGAATTCCTTAGGTAGCTAAAGCTTCCTCCCCACCATTCTCTGCCTCCTCCATTCAGATTTTGAGATGCAGGGACCTGACCTGACCCGCGGAGTCAGCTTGTGCATGACCCTAAGCACAGCCCAATCAGCCTCCTGCCCCGCCAAAGCAGGGGCCCAGCGTGGATCCTTATATGCCCTTCAGATGAGTGTCCAAAATGACTTTTTTTTTTTACTTTCCAGTCTTTTTTTGTTTCTCTTTCAATAATTTTTAAACTGCATGAAGATAACTTTTTCCTGAAATGAATCACTATCCCTAGCAGAGGGTTGGGAGGCTGCCCAGGCTGCTGAGGGAGAACGGCCCACCCATTACAAGAGCCCTGAGTTTTGTACACCAGCACTCACAGTGAAGAGCACACTTTTGCAAGCGGACCTAAAACAAATGCTTGGCAAAATAATACTGGCACTTTATACATGTGATAGACTCCGAAAGTTCCTATTTTCTTCTGTGATGTGCTGGGTTATTTCATTCTGGTTCATTTAAAAACACAAAATTCTGCTCTGGATCTATGGAGTATTCCATGACCTGTTCATGAGTCATAGCCTGCAATTTGCAAAGGCCTTCTCCAGAGACCACCGGGTACTCACTGCTCCCAATCCTGCAGGGGCTTCAAGGAAGCCTCAAGATGCCCCTCTGAGCCAGGCTCCCATGGGAGATGGTGACTTGAAGGCTTTTTGCGCCCTTGGCCCAGGCCTGATGAGGGAAGGGGTGGGGGGAGGAGCAGGCAGTGAGCATCCTGGGCATCTGTGGAACACTGGCCTTATTTCTCCTGTACCCTCACACTGTTACCACACTTTCCACACTTCTTACACCAGCTATGTGGGGTTTTCCCCACAAGTCCTTCAAACAGTTCTCTGTGGCACCACCGAATGTACTACAAGTCAATTCAATCTTGACATTAACGGCTCTGAATTAGTGCAGATCCCACAGCTTCAGGGCTCAGCCCCACAAGACTGGCCCTCAGCTCAGACGCCGACTGCAAGTCCCAGGTTGCCACCTGGACTGACCAACCAGCTATAAGTCACAGACTCCCATGCTACCCTCCTCAAGTTTGGTCACTTTCTAGAACAGCTCACAGAACAAAAAGAAACACTTGCTTATAGTTACTGGTTTATTAGCTAGGTGAATAGCCAGATGAGTATGTATGTGTGTGATGTGGTCCAAAGCACAGGAGTTTCCGTCTCCATGGAAATGAGGTGCACTAACCTCTCCATGTGGAGGTGTGTTCCCCAAACTCTCCACACCCCATTATTGAGACGTTTATGGAGGCTTCATCACATAGGTGTGGTGATTATTAACTCCATTTCCAGCCCCTCTTCTTTCTCCAAAGAATGAGAGATTGGAATTGACAGTTCCAACCTTTCAATCATGGTCTGTTCTCTCTGGTGACCAGTTTCCATTCAGGACACACCAAGAGTCACCTTATTAGAACAAAAGATGCCCAGAGCCTCCCTGGTGGTGCAGAGGTTAAAGACAGCATTGTCAAACTATCCCCAGCCACTGCAGCATGAGTTCAACCCCCGGCCAGGGAGCTGACCCACATGGCCCTGCAGACCTCTCCTGTCTCCC